GAAAGTGTAGCTTTTCGGATAGCGGAATGAGATCCATTCTAGGTTAATTCCAGAAGTTACATGAACCACATAGAGGTGCTCTGCTATCACGCTTAATCTCAAATATTATCTCAGAGTTATATTTTAACTTAAAATAGGCACAATGCCCATCCGTGTAGACTCTTTGCTGTTGTCTCCACTTGGAATACTCAGTGGCAATACAACCACAATGTTGCTAAGACATGAGCAAAATGCGGAACCTCTGGTGTGGCTCGAATTCGCAATTACGATTGTGGGGGGGGGGGGGGGCTCACGTGTTGTCCATTGCACTACTGAGGCCTTTGTTTTACCTTTCGGTCGGTTTTTTGCTCTAACGGTGCCGTCAGCAACCATCTGTCAATGAGAATAATGTGTAAGGACAAATCAGCATTGAACCCGGTTAAGTGACGCTGCAGTCGAAATCACAATGTTGTAACTTTTGATAAACTGACTTTCCTTTAAACTCGACGTGACTAATCAATGTGTATATTTTCATTGATAAGTGGAAACGATGTTCAGAAAAAGGTTTATTCACCTAATATCTCGACGTCTTCGCCTTCCTCAGAGTCGGTGATCAGTGTCGATGACCAAAGTCGGTCATCTTTTCGATGTTGTGTCTCGTCATCGTGTCGAGTCCAATATTTTTCAGTGCAACATTGCTCGAATAAGGCAATCTCACCTGCAGACGCTCTTTTTCTTCTGCGATCTCTTCGGCGATGCGATTTGAAATACAACTACAATGATGCTGAGAAACGTAACACCCGGCCATGAAAAAGGAACAAGCACTAAGTGAAAGTTAAAGGTCAAAGTCAAGATGTTGTTGGAATGTTGAATGAACTATAAAACGAAAAATATTCGTCTTATAAGAAACGTCGGCCTAACAAAAGTTTTGTATCGACGTCGGCTCTGCTATGTAGAATTCATCGATCAGTAGTCATATCACAGGAAATTGCAAAATGTTTGTTTAAAAACAACGCAAATAAAGGTTATTTCGATTTTTCGATGGTTTAAGAAGTCTTTTACGGGTGCGTGTGGTGGCGCAGTGGTCGGAGGCGCCCTGTAACATAAAGGTGGGGTGTCGATCCTAGCGCCCATGGCCCACCAAGCCTACTATCCCTACGAGGTCAGCAAATTGGGGCCATACTTGTCTGGGAGGATAGCAGAACTCGCTCGATGCTTCGGTAGGCCACCGCTAGTCATTGCGAAATGCCAGATATGCACTCAATCACCTCCAACGATACTTCATGAAGTTGAATGCATGGCGTATTCCTCAGGGATTGACGCCGAGACCTTTACCTTTATTTTATCCTTTTAAATAATTCCTACAACCGACTTTCTATTAACCTCGGCATTAATCAAGTGATTCTTCGTATTCTTGTTGAGCAAACGCGAGGTGTTACTTTTATTCCTTACTCACGAATAAGCTGACGTTACGGCGGATTTCGCCTTCCTCAGAGCCTAGAAAGGTCAAGTTGACAGCAACCTATTCGGCCAAACACCTCCATGACCAAAAAAGCGAACACTGAACCAAGATTTTAATCACATTGAACACATCTTTGCACACTCACCGCTTTCTATGAGGCCTCCACCGAGTATGTCGCGTGAAGACCAACCGCACAGATTTCACACGAAAGCGTCACGTGCCTCTCCCATCAGAATAACAGTCTTATATACTGCCCAATATCACGCGTGATAATGAGGCATTCTTCTCTGCGGTTCATTTTCGGATTTCTGGAATTAATCCAGAATGCCTCGAGAGTTTTGCGCGCTTGTGTTCTTGATTCGTGTGCGAGGATCGTGACACATACTTCAAAGTCGTCCCCGTTATGTCTGTGGGTCCTATGCCTGAGAGGGTTGAGAGGAGAGGTAATGAACCTAGATGTTTTTACTACTTGGCTTTCGGTACCACTTTGTAATGTACCCATTTTCTGACAGGTGAATTTGGACGTTCAGGAATGGAAGCCATTTTTCCTTCGGCTTTCCTCGGGTGAACTTGATATACTCTGACTGTTTATTCAACAACTCGAAACACGTGTCCATTTTCTCTTGTGTTAAGCAAAGGACAAAACAGTCATCTATATATCTATAGTAGAGTAGCGGCCCGAAATCAATCGCCGGTGCTTCCACCTTAGACATAAATGCAATGGCGAGGCTTGGTGCCAGTCGTTGTCCCATTGCCAGCCCTCTTATTTGAGCGTATTACTTTCCTGACCATCCGAGGATTGAGCAGCTCAAGCATTCTTTTAAGAGTGCCATCAACTGCTCTATCTCAAAGCCATACACGTTTATTTCTCTTTCGTATTGTAGAAGGAGTTCGAATATGGCGTGAATTGCGGACTCATTCGACACGTTTGTTTAAAGGGCAGTAAAAACATCTTGATTCATTACCTCTCCTCTCACCCCTCTCACACGAAAAGGGCGCTTATAATAAACATGTTTCGAACAGCAACCAACGTGTGCACGTGAAGAGAGCAGAGAGAGGAGTCCCGGAACTTGGCGCGGCAAATAGCCAATTCTAATGGCTGCGAAACTGTAGCTCAGGATAGGTGTAGGGAAAACCGAAGGCTCCCAAACGACAATTCTAGCGATGAAAAGGTCCTGTTTATCCTACCCTTTATCTCAAATGATGTAAGTACAGCTATAAAACGCTACCTAAGAAGGGCGGGTTGAGAGAATTCGGTAAACGTAGTTGAAATACCACCGAGTAATCTTAAGTGCCAACTAGTTCGTAACCGCCTACATGACCGTCTATGTGAAACTCAAAATTGCATAATTTGCCCCAGTGGTAGAGACGGTGATTGCATGAGCTCGGGTATAGTTTATCTGATCTCCTGTAGCGTCCGGAGACGAATACATTGGCGAAACGGACAGACCCCTCTGTGTCCGCATAAAAGAACACCTAGCCGGCAAACATAGACCAAATACCCCGCTAGGCACGCGTAGGACCCAGAGACATAACAGGGAGGACTTTGAAGTACGCGTCACGATCCTCGTGCAGGAATCAAGAACACGAGCGCGCAAAACTCTCGAGGCGTTCTGGATTAATTCCAGAAATCTGAAAATGAACCGTAGAGAAGAATCCCTCATTATCACACGTGATATAGGGCAGTATATAAACCTGTTATTCTGATGGGAGGGGCACATTACGCTTCCTTTCTAACTCTGTGCGGTTGGTTCCCACGCGACATACTCAGTGGAAGACTCATAGAAAGCGGTGAGTGTGCGGAGCTGTGTTCAATGTGATTGAAATCTTGGTTTAGCGTTTTCTTTGTTTGGTTATGAAGGTGTTTGGCCGAATAGGTTGCTGTCAACTTGACCTTTCCAGGCTCTGAGGAAGGCGAAATCCGCCGAAACGTCAGCTTTTACGTGAGTGGGGAAGTGGAAGAGCACTTCGTGTTTGCTGAACAGAAGTGGAAAGATTGTTTATTGGAAGAAAAGTTCAAGTCAGGTCAGGAAGAAAAGTGAAGAAAACTACTTCATAATGCCATCGTTCTGACTAGGCAAGAACACAACAAATTACCTGAAATTATCCTTTGATATGATGGACACATTTAGAATTTTATCACAAACATTTCCATTTTGTCAGGCTTCGAATATTCAACAGCGGTAATGTGAAAGCTCAACGCAGTTAAGGACTTGAAATCATCCACAGAATTGTGCAACCTTTAGTCGTCGTCTCTCACCCACCAGGTCTTCGTCCATTCAAACGGTGAAGAGTTCCAGCGCGACAGGAAACAGCTCAGATGTTGTCGAACATCGAACCAGCAGCTGAGACAACATGTTCTTTTATTCTGATGTCTTAATCGCTGATTCCTAAGAGTTTACTCACCAAGGAAAAAGTGCTTCATTTGCTGCGAGCATGACAGCAAGCTATGCACAATAGAACCCTCTCGGAAAGAGCTTCAAGACCGTAATCGACAGTTATTTCACCCGGGTACCATTAATACCGGCATCGGTGACGACGGCATCAGGCAAGTTGTAGATGCTGACCACTCGTTCCCACACATCGGAAGATGTGGTCTTATGAAAAAGAGCAAAATTCGTAAAGCTTTAATGATGTTTTTTTTGACAGCGATACCAGTTTTCCTCCGTGGTTTTTGAGAGATGTAAATTATTCCAAGCTACTGTAACACTCTATCCATAGCGATTTCCTAATCTAATCGAAGCGCATCTACGATACCATGAACAATGATACAGACCACCCTATTTTCTTCAAGGTATATGAATATTTGAGTTAAAAACTACTAAAACTAAAAAAAGTCAAAGTCGCCAAGACCCTTGAATGTTTTACACAATTGTTGCGTCCTTGCGGTTATTGTCACTACAAATTACTTGTAAACTACCATAAGAGGTCGGCTCTATATGAAATTAAACATGTTCTTAAGCAGCAAAAGTTGCTGATCTGTTTACTTTCTAGTTTGTTCTTTGTTGAACACTTGACTCCAACACATTTCTCGAGTAAAGGAACCAAATAGGTTCTTCAAACAATCGATTATTCAATCATTCTCTTGGATACGCTAGTCGGATTATCAAGAAGCGTTTTCGGTTGCAAATTGCTTTATTTTCTCTTGTGGATATTTTAGATTTTAGATATTAGATTTGACTTGAACAGATCACCTAGGCAAGTTCTTTCAGGATTACAATGATCTCGTAACAATATTTCAAAACCAACTTTTCGTTAACCTCGGTATGACTAATCAATATGTATTCTTTCTATGGCAAGTTTAGACAGGCTTGATATATCATACATTTATATGTGATATAACATGTCAAACTCGTGTAAGCTTATCAAAGAAAGAATACTTGTTGATCTCGTAACTTTTAACTGAAACTAGACAGATCTCAAGATCGGTGAATCCTGCGGAAACGGCACAATGTTCCAAAAACTTTACCAAAGGATGTACTCTTCAAAAATTAAAGAAACATCAAAAATCCTTTAGTACAAATATTCAACAAGGTATTTCATAAGCCTTCTTTCCAAGCTAATTTATGCAGTCAACTGATTCGCCTTTGAATTTCGCCCCAAGAGGAATGGTACCGAGATCGAACGGTTTTTCAGAGGTTTTACCATATGAGATGAAAGTCTCCGGAATCGACACGCTGAATTTCCTGTAGCAGTACTGAAATTAGCTACACTATTAAACAGTTTTGCCTTACGCGAGTTAGAGGGTGGCATGGAGCACTACTACAAATGTGTCGTTTTGGTTGTACTCGCAAACATGGTGTTTGAAGTGGTTTGTCAACTCACCCCGGTGTAGTTGCATTTGTGGTATACGTTCACTTTTGGGCTCAAAACTGTTAACACATATGTGCTTCCCATCAACGAAAACACACCATTTTCGTTCGTTACACCTTGCGCCAATTTGATATCCAGTGCTGAAATTTTTACAAATGATGTCGATTACTAACCTAGCCTTACGACATAGCCGGATCTAAAATGCGCACTTAACATTAAAAAAACAGCTTCGCAAGCTGTCGGACTTTTATGTCACAAATCTGTTCGTCCTAACCGCCATAGAATTCTTTGATGCAGTGAATTTTAGTAGAAAAAAGAAAGAAAGTAGTATTCGACGTTGATCGATCCCTGAGGCTATCAGAGAGGATTAGCTACTTATCTGGCCTGTACAATGACTTATGGTAGCATATCGATACATCAAGTCAGTGATGCTGTTCTCCCAAACAAGTCTAGCATCAATTTGCAGACACCACAGAGATGGAAAGCTTGCTGACTCCAGGGTGCAGGATCGGGCCACCGACCAATCGAGTGGGTAGTGGCGCTTCTAATCACTGTGCAAAACTCGTACCAAGTGAGCTGTACAGCCGGAGTCTATTTAATGAGTTATATGCTCTCTTTTTCTTACGATTGATTTGCAGAAAAATTATTCCAGTTGTGTAAAAACTAGCGAAATTAACAGGTATTTTCAGCATTTTTACTGTAAAGCCGATGTCTCATCAATTACATAGAAAACATAATGAAAAAACTGCTATCCGGAAGCAACGCCAAATCTATTGCTTGTTGTGCATAGACATTGTTATGCTCTTTGCTAGCTGATGATTATACCGACTCCTGCAGGACCGATTTTCAGGAAAAAACAAGTTGTTATCACGAAGCAAACACTACCACCAATAACCATCAACCTGTACAAAAAAGCATCGCCAGGTGAGCATCCCTCATTTGAGAGGTGTTCCACTGAAGAAGATCTGACTCGATACGAAGAGGAAGACGCTACATCGAGAAAACGAATAACTGTGGACCATCAACTCGGATTATCGACTCTGATGAAGACGGCGACGTCAACGCGTCAGACGAACAGAGATCGTTCATCAATCTCGCATAAGGTTACCAAAGGAGGAATACATTTCGACACCAAATATATTATTAAGCCAAAAAGGTGTGATTCACAAGGAAAATCTTGCGCTAAGAAATTAAGCATTTGAATGAATGGATTCTATCAGATTTTAACTTATTATTTACTGCCCATTCTCTCTAACGGCAAAGTATATTGCGAAATACAGCTTTCAATGATGCTGAGATGTTTGCGAAACTCCGGGCCGCAGGTGTCTGCAGTAGGGAAGGAATGCGTTGCTGTCTTTTCCAGGGAGTAGCGCGTTCACCACCACACCACGCGGGTCCTCCGTTTCGCCTGTCTCTCAGCTAGTTCTATCGTTCTTTTGCCATCAGCAATTATCCTTCAACTCCATCAGATTGCAAATTAGAAAGATATTCTGTATCTTCAAAATGTTCATTAAAAATTGGATTTACACAAAATATTGAAGTGATTCAATTCAGGTTTTGCTTAGTTTCCTTTGCGTGCTTTTCCCGAAATCTCATTCATCTCGCTTTCATTCTGTTCCCGTCAGGATTTGAAATTCGTTATCATTTTTTTGTAATTCTTTCACAGGTGATCCCACCGCTGTTTACATCGGCTCCATTTGTGAACTCTGGAATCGCTTCCGTTCTAGAAAGATTTCACCCGCATGTTAACAAAGTTTTCTCTGGTCTTGTAGATTTCGAAACGCTATCCTATGCGTCTCTGATGAGGACATTTGGTATTCCCACATGACAAGAAAACGAATGGGATTGCTGAAAACTCAACCCTATTGTGAGGATAATCGAATTAGATCATAACACGTTGGAGTCTTTTCTAACCATTTTTTGAAATGTTTTTCGGTTTCACAAGGGCAGAAACATCTAAATATATATAGTTCACGCCATAAGTAGTGGTTTTATGAGGGAGAAGAAAACCTACGCAGGAGTTTGTGGTACAGTTTCACTTTGACTCTCGCTGCTGGCTCGTCGTCACAAGTGAGTTCTCCTGTGACCGCCACGGCCTGTCTGCTTCCTATGTTGCCGTGCGAACAAACACATGAATTAAGAACAAAGAGAAGAGCGCACAGCGTGCTCATCCTCAAAAAAATTGTTTAGTTCAGAACCAAAAGGTAATAAAAAAAAGATAGAAAGAAGATTAAGGAATATCGGGACCGTGATCGGAACGGGAGCAGATGCCGCCCAAGCAAAAGTTTGACTTGTTCACTGGGCCCGTAGAAATTCTTCTACGGGGAAGAAACGAAATGCCAAGATATAGGAGATGAAATAGTGAGATCTCATAAGAAATTCCTGCGCTTATTCGAACCGCAAGTTCTACAGTAATGACTGTGGGTATAACTTTCTATTTACTGACTATTACTGTTTCATGGTAGTGTGTTATGTGAAAGACAATCAAAATGATGCTGAGATATTGGCAAAATCCAAATTCTAGACTGGATTCGAACCCTAATACTCGACAGTATGTTTCAGCATCCATTGACTTATTTCTTTCATTTGGAACCTAATACTCGGTTGAGCAGAGCAAATAGAAGCAGTCTTCATTGACTTTCAAAACATATTCTATTGCTCTCTTTCTGTTCGTTTCATCGAAAGAAAGCCAACTCGATTGATGCGGCTACAAGAATTGAGTATGAGCGACGGTGTTGGCTGTATATAGAGCTAAGAATGCCATAATGGAGAAACATAGGAACCCATTAGATTGTTGGTTTGCCTTGACTACGCTTTCTTCTACTGAGTAACAGGTATAGGCGTCGTTCTTGTCTATCTACTGTCTTTTCCTTCCACAGTATGACAGCTACGTATCAGCGCTTAGCTCATAAGAAACGCTTATAAAGGTTGGCGCTTGAAGAACAATGGCAAAAGGACGCTGGCATGAGAGAAAAAACATTTCAAGAGAAATTTCGCTGTTAGGGTCAAACCGCAGTAGCTGTTTGTAAAGGACGATAGTTAAAGCAAAGAGAACAAGATTCTCATACATTGGAAATGGTGCCCGAGATATTTGAAACACCATTATATACCAGAAAACTATCCAAACAAAGACCGCTTTTCAGTATTTGGGCAGCTGTTCACCGTATAGCGCATATGGGTCGACAGTAGGAAGCGTTCCTAATGCTCTTCCGAAAAAGAAAAATTAAGGAATTCAGATAAGAGCACAAGTGAATTGAGAGTACTAAATAATTTCCTTAACATGACAGTCATTATTTCTGTAAAAGACCCTACCTAACTGACGCACTTGTTCTGAGGGCTGCCGAATACAATCCGAACAGTAAGTTTTGGTATAAATTTTATTCTAGTACAGTAGTTCAAATTTACTAAATACCAGACAATGTACTGCTATCCATTTCCACCAGCTGTAATGTTTCCACCCTACATAATTATGAATCACCATCGAAGTTAGACTCTCCGAATACGCGGAAGCTAACTGATAAGTGGTTAATTGATGGTGGTCATCGGTTGTAACATATTGGTCAATCAATAATTTATAATCTTTCTTATCACTTTCATCTCAACATCATCGTTAGGACTGCATTTCCTAACATGTTTCATGTTCTAACAAACATGTTTCACATGAAAACTTCTTAGTGATAACGATTGATGAAAAGTTCAATGCTTATCTGACTTGACGCTGGTGCTCATTTCATTTGTGTGCTGTTGTATCCAGCGGACTACTCGACCAACCTCTTACAGCTCGTTGAGGAAAAATGTCCAATCAGGATATGGTTCGTCTGCAGAAGGCCGTTATGGAAGGAGTTCGCAATGTGTGTAAGATTGCAGCAAGGCATTTTTGATAATTTTTCGTCCATGCGGGAAAATAACTGCTACTTACGCTATGGAAGCCACTCCGATGTTCTAATGAATGTATAGTCGCGATCTATCAGATGAGAAGTTGTTTAGCCTGTTACAAAGGAAGCTGTCGCTCTAGTGAGTTACGTGAAGTAAAAACTTTTCCGCTGACATTTCAGCAAGGCAAGAGAGGTCGAGCGAACGGAGAAATCACCACTATAATCAAAGTTTCAATAAGCTGCACGATTTTTAAGGGTGTATTCATAGCGATGTTCAAGGACTCATAAGCAGCATAGCCAGAGGTAGAGAGCATATCTATGAAGTAAGAAGAAGTTGAAGAGTGGTTTTCTCCTTCTTCTTTTGTTAGTTTAACACATTTACGAGATTGTGCAATGTTTTCAAATAATACTTGCCTTTTCGGTCTTCCAGTGTTTAAAAACCTCCCAACGCTTTACAGCCTCATTGTGGTTGAAAAGTGTTCCTGGTGTTTGGCTGCGATGTACAGCAACAGGATTCATCGACCCAGCAGGGTCTCTCACGTTAAGAAGGAGTCCGGCGTTTCCATTAACAAGTCCTGCTAACAGTAAACCGATACTAGGGCCCACCACCATCTTATTATCAAGCTAGTTGCATGGTGTGATATCTCCCTCTGATCCACAAGGCCCACAACGGCCTCTGGTGGTGACGACCTGGGCCAGACTTTGGCTAGGCTGACCTCGGAACTCCAGGGAACCACAATAGCTAGACCAACAAAACTCTGAAACAACGGAATTTATGCTGGGACCCACACAACCAGTGAATACGGGCCATCCAAGTATCTAATTACGCAGGTAATGTTAAAAACAACTGTAACTAAATTTGTTGAGCGCTTTACTGATGGAGACAAATACTGCTAAAATCCTCAGATATTTGACAATAGGATGACATATTTCTTGACTAGGTTGTTCTATTGATTAAGTTGATTAAGTCAAAAAAATTAGCTAAAACTGTGTAACAAAGTAGGCCATCGGCAAGGAAATAGAGGAAGTGGATAGAATACAACGCACTTCGTCCAAAACGCCCCCTCCGAGTACGTGTAGCGTGCAATGAAAACTAGTGCGTTCTGTACTGAACAAGCAAGGTTTCTTGAAACAGAACGCAATGACCTTCTCAAGTGTGGTGTTGACTCTTACAGAGAATTTGAGAATTTTAAAAACTCATGGCTTTGTGCTAGGGTGGTACAGTGAGCAAATTTAGAAATAGGAATCATATATATCTCATGCATAGACCATTTTACGATTTCCTTAAGTCTATATACCGTCAAATATTCTAAATATAACAAAATTTTGGGCAGTTTCCGGAAAACGGAGTAGTCCTGACTGTAATAAAAGTGCATTGCAAGCCCTTCTATGCTCAATAATTCGCCTTCCGGCTGTGCTCCTAACGGAAAGACAGGGCCAGCTGAGCAAACTTAAATGCCTTACATGGGCTGAGACTTTGAAACAATTGTATGTCCCCAGAACATGTTCGAATTGAAGCAGACCATGTTTGATGACGAGCAGATCAGTCACCGCTGTGGAAACAACTTTGGCGAACTCCCCAAAAAATTCGTTACAGTCACTCGTGATGATTCACACTTAAATTCTAGAGCAATATTTTAAGGATGTGTATTACAAGCTAACTTCATTCAATATTTCACAGTCGTCCTTTCACTGGTTGAGAAGGCTCTTGCTTGATCAGAAATAGCTGGAAAAGAGATGAATCAGTAGATTCCTTCCAATCCACCAAAGTGGACACAACGCTTTTTTTGCAGTTTAACGTTCCAGCTTTGTACTGACACAGTGGTGCAACCGCTTGAAGTTGCGAGAACAAATATTAAAATGGGCCGACTGAGGAAATATTGTAGGAGAAGGTGTTTGCTGTAAAGGTGCAGACTTTACACTAGAGAATAAAACGATCTCCACCTTAGAGCACGCGGATATCTAGGCATAAGTCATATCAACATGCCAAGATGGAATAAGTCGTTTGTCTCTGCTTGTTGTCTAATCGATTTAAAGAGCTTTCATTTGCAACTTGAATGCTTGGATGGCCCGTCTTCACCAGTTGTGCGGCCCCAGCATAATTTCCAGTCCTCGCTGATTTGCTGGTTTAGATTTTGTGGTTCCCTGGAGTCGTAAAGACAGCCTGGCCAAAGTCTGCCTCGGGTCTTGTCTCCACAACAGGCATTCGCATCAGTGGGAGATTTGCCACCATGCGGCTAATTTGATACCAAGGCGGTGGTGGATCCTGGTATTACTTACTCCCAGCTGGATTGTCTGATGCATAAAAACGCCAGACTCCTTTTCAGCTCGAGAAAGCATGCCGTAGGTATGAATCCCACCGTTGTACATCACTGCCTGACACCCAGGAACACCTCTCAGCCACGATGATTAGGTAAACCGTTGGGAGGTCATTTGCAACTATGCTGGCCAAAGAAATCTATATTGGTGCAGTGATTTTATATTACTTTCATTCACTTATGATATACCGTAATCTCCTATTCTACAAACTTTTTTTTATGACGAGACAGCTTACATCAATGCTAACAATGGTCGTAACAAATTGATAGTCACTACCACTGTTTCGGTCTGTTCGTGGGTGGGCGGGTGGGGCGGTGTGACCATTTTGCGAATACCTCAGCATCGATTTCGTTATATTTAACAATGTACCCTGCCGTGAAAAAATGCAGTATAAAGCAAAAAGAGGGTTAGCAAGGTGATTTCGGTCTGTGTTGAAAAATATTTAAGCCCATGTTGCCGTATCACATTTCACGCGTTTTTTTTCCTTCTACTCAACTCCATTTCCTAACTTTCAACAAGTAGTCGTAGGAGATTCATATTTATTATTTCACGACTTCATGACATTTTATGCTGTTTATAGATGGCCTTTTCTAATAAGGCACTAGAACATCTAGAATAGTGCTTATCGTTTTGAAACTCCGGACTAGTGGCATGAAATCAAGCATACTACCAGGTCATAATTTTTCCCTTAGAGCCCATTCTATGTCCTCCGGCCTTCTTCGCACTTCCTCAAGTGCCAAATGATTAGTTAAGCATCGGCTTTGTATTTGCTCTGAGAAGCAGGTGCATTCACTGGACGTCATTCCTGTTTCCGTTACACTGATTTCGTATTCGACTCCGTATTTGCGCAGGCATGTTTTGTACGCTTGAGTGGGGCCGCCTACGTTTTTTTTTGTTCGGGTTATATTTTGCATATCTATTTGACAAAAATCTGACAGTCGAGAGACTAGAGATAAATGAGAGAAGACTGGAGGTCA